CTGTTACAAAAGACAAATTAACAAGAGGAAAGCACACACATTTATTTAACGTAAGTTTTACATGACACAGGAGCTTTTATAAGAAAATCAATACTCAAACGGTTAAACCTGAGTGTTTTTCTACTTGGTTTAATGAAGAGCAGAAAGTCATGAGAAAATGAGATAGAACAAAGGTTATGAGCCAATGGTAGTAATCTGAGGGAAACCTAGTGGGGCCTGTTCATTCCAGTTCCTCTCATCATGTCTCCATCTATGCTATAGACATAAGAATGGTCTTTTCCTTGGGTGTGGGGCAGGCACCTCTCACTGGTGGGTCCTATGACCTGCCTCAGGGGAGAATGGGGAGATCAGAGAGTCCTTCCTGCACCTGCCATTTCTCAAATTCCTTCAGCTTAAAATATTTTGGGGTAGCATGTCCTGAACCCCATTATCAAGGACTTTGTCAACCATAAGGATACAGGGAGAGCTGTCTTTGAGTCCTTGTGTTTGAAACCAGGTGTATGAAATTTGGGCCATTGGTATGGCCACTTAACTGGTGTGCCTGCATCCACCCTTGCTTTCTTCCCCATCTAACTTAACATAGAAGCCACAGAAATCCTTCCTAAAGGTCATTCAAATCTTATCACCACCAACTCCCTAGCTCCCATGCTTCCCCTCAAGCTTGGAAAACCCCCCAAAGTCCTTATCATGACCGAGGAGGCCTTCATGAATTCGATGGCCCTTTAACTTCACCTCTCCCCCTCTCCCCCTTTCCCCCTCTCCCCCTGTGACAATGCCTCAGCCTGTGGACCCTTGCTATGCCTCATCTTTGGCAACGATACCTTCCAGTCTTAGGTCCTTTTCCTATAAAAATGAGTGTAAATAAAAGATCCTTTACCCTACAAGCAATTAAAAACAAAAAAAAACCCCTTTGCCCTGGCTGGTTTGGCTCAGTGGATAGAGCGTCAGCCTGCGGACTGAGGGGTCCCAGGTTCGATTCCGGTCAAGGCCATGTGCCTTGGTTGCGGGCACATCCCCAGTAGGGGGCGTGCAGGAGGCAGCTGATTGATGTTTCTCTCTCATTGATGTTTCTAACTCTCTATCCCTCTCCCTTCCTCTCTGTAAAAAATCAATAAAATATATTAAAACATAATAAAATAAAATAAAATAAAATAAAATAAAATAAAAAACATCTTTGCCCTGGCCGGTTTGGCTCAGTGGATAGAGTGTCAGCCTGCAGACCAAAGGGTCCCAGGTTCGGTTCCAGTCAAGGGCACATACCTTGGTTGTAGGCTCCTCCCCAGTCCGGGCCCTGGTCGGGACCCATGCAGGAGGCAACCAATTGATGTGTTTCTCTTACATCTATGTTTCTCTCTGTCTTTCCCTCTCTCTTCCAATCTCCCTAAAAATCAATGGAAAAATATCCTCTGGTGAGGATTAACAAAACAAACAAACAAGTTAAAAGAAACAACACCTTTATTTTTAGGGAATAAAATATAGGATGTGAAAGAATGATTACCAATGCTTAGAAAACAAAATGCTATCTAAAGCAAAAACCCAGATTACTATTTTTCCCGGCTCTAGTTGCAATAGTCACTAACAAAGTTAATACAAAATGAGGAAGACTAACAAGATTTTTACGTCTTGGAGAGTAAAAGAATTTCCATTTCAGGCATTTCTGTCTGCAAATTTAGGTTGCAAAATCCCAGTATAAATAAAAACTACCCACAAAAAAAAACCCCAAACCCCAAAACACACACACACACACAAAAAAAAACCCTAACCAAAAAGCAAAGAGTGACATGAGCTAATCACATTTGGGTTTCACGTACTGTGCTCTTTTATACCCACTGAATAGTCTTTAAGATCATTCCAAGTCACATGAAACCACACTTTGTGAAACTTGAAGTTTTAGGTGACTTTGCAAGTTTCTCTTTAAAGGACTAATATGCCACCTCACAATAAACAGCCCTGGGAAGTCACAGGGAGAAAAGGGACCAAAATAGAATTCGCACTGGATGGCCTCAAGCGATTTCTTCAAAACCATTTGAAACACAAAGGCATTTTAGTTTTGAGCACCTTTGGGGGAATTCTGTCAGTGCGCTTAGGCCTTCAGGGTCTGGCAAAGCAAGTTAAACAAGTTGAGAGAAAAGAACTTATGCAAATGTGCAGGTCGTCTGGTTTGCAGATAACTCAGAAGTAAACTTGTACTCTTTTTATTTTTCAGAAATAAACTTGGTGAAGCGATTACAATTAACATTCTATGAATATTTACTTTAAAATATGTTTTATTTATTTCAGAGAGAGGAAGGGAGAGGGAGAGATGGAAACATTAATGATGAGAGAGAATCATCAATTGGCTGCCTCCTGCATGCCCCACACTGGGGGTTGAGCCTGCAACCTGGGCACATGCCCTGACCAGGAATCCAACCATGACCTCCTGGTTCATGGGGTCAATGCTAAACCACCGAGCCACAATGACATGGCATCTATGAATGTTTAAAAGAGGGGAAAAAACCAGCTGCAACCACACAGAAGGCTTGCTGTGTTTAAACAATTAAACCACTTGCTTAGACACTGTTTGCAAGGCCTCAAAGAAGTCATTTCCTTTTCAATTCATTTATTAGAGAACTGTTGGGAGAGTCAAAGGCTGAAGCAATGGCCTTCATCTGACTGATTTATTCCTGTTTTTCCATAAGTAGATTTGGAACTTCAGACCTAGAGGGGGGTCAGAGTATGCCACGCTGGGATATGCCATCCTGATATAAGGATCATTCTGAGTGGAAAGCGAATGAGAAAAAGCAGACACAGGATAAGCTTCCTGCCCTCCCCCTGAAAACAGAACAGAAATTCCCCTCATGAATTCCGTACCAGGAAGTGGGTAACAACCTTATCACTGGAGACGAGATGGCACTGAGACTACACAAATGACTAAATAACCACTACCTTCCATAGGTTCCCCATATATTTACTTTCCCAGTTTGCTGCCCCTAGAAACCGAAAGCCCCTTTCCTTTGTCTTCTCTACAAATGTATTGTTCTTTGTTAAAATGCCATATAAGCCCAAGTTCTAACCAGCCCTTTGAGTTACTCATCACTGAGTTTCTCCTGTGGGTATCATGTAGCAAGTGGTAATAAACTGGTTTTCTCTTGTTGATGTGTCTATTTCAGTCTAATTTGCAGCCTCCCAAGTGTTTTGTCCTCCCCTGCAGACCTAAAACACATGCCCTTGAAAACATGAAGACTCCCTAACATCAGAAACTAAAGGTCAGAGTTTAGTGGTTCTCAACCTTCTGGCCCTTTAAATACAGTTCCTCATGTTGTGACCCAACCATAAAATTATTTTCGTTGCTACTTCATAACTGTAATGTTGCTACTGTTATGAATCGTCATGTAAATATCTGATATGCTGGATGGTCTTAGGCGACCCCTGTGAAAGGGTCGTTCGACCGCCAAAGGGGTCGCGACCCACAGGTTGAGAACCGCTGTCATAGTTGAAGAGTTTACATACCCTGGAGACTTTGCAAAGAAAAAAAAACCATAACTCCTTCCACAAATCAAGGACTCAAAATAAAACACTGTAGGATTAGTTATAGGGTAACTTTCGTGGCTTAAGGGAGACCTGTAAACTGAGAAAAGAGGGAAAAATAACAAAGCTCTAGTTACACAATGTTAGAGCCTAGAGGCACTATTCACTTTGTCCTGCATCTCTAGGAACGTGTTTCTCAGAAGTCAAAGTAGCCTGGCCGGTGCAGCTCAGCTGGTTGGAGCATCGTCCAGTGCACTGAAGGGCCGCAGGTTCGATTCCTGGTCAGGGCACATACCTGGGTTGTGGGTTTGATGCCTGGTGTTGGTGCATATGAGGCAACTGATCGATATTTCTCTCTCACATCAATGTTTTTTCTCTCTCTCCCTATTTTCCTCTCTCTCTAAAAATCAATGAGAAACATGTTCTTGGGTGAGGATTAAAAAAAAAAGAAGTTAATATTGAGGCAGTCGCTGACAGTGAATTTGGAGGAAGAAAAGCTTCGAGCAGCTTGAGTTGGGCTACCTGTGGTTGTGTAGCTTGGGCAAGTCACAGCATCTCTGTGGACCTGTTTCATCACCTGTAAAGTATACAGAACAACAGTCTTTTCTTAGAACCATGAAAAGGGTCGAGTGAGAGCCTAGGTATGAGCAGTTCTCAACTGTGACAGCATCTCAAAATTACTCGAGAAATTAAAAAGAAGCCCGGCCCGTGTGGCTCAGAGGTTGAGCATCGTCCCAGGAGCCAAGAGGTCACTGGTTCCATTTCCGGTCAGGGCACATGCCTGGGTTGCGGGCTCGATTCCCAGTAGGGGCGTGCAGGAGGCAGCCTATCGATGTTTCTCTCTCTCTATCCCTCTCCTTCCATCTCTCTCTAAAAATCAATAAAAAAAACATATTTAGGAAAAAAATTAAAAAGGAAATGTTGATGCCTGGGTTGCAGCCCACAGATTCAGATGTGATTGTTCTAGGGTTGGCCCTCAGCCTCGGTAGAGTTTCAAAGTTCCCCAAATGATTCTAATATGCAGCCACTGTTGATAACTATCGGCCTATTGCTAAAGTAGCGCTTCTCAAACTATTTTGGACAGGATGACGTGGGGATCCTGCCAAAATGCAGGTTCGAATTCAGTAGCTTGGGGCCGAGAGACTGCATTTCTAACAGGCTCATAGGTTATGCTCTCAAACACTCTGAGGATAGCAAAGTACTATGTGGCCACAAAGCACAATGCAGACAGTCATCCACTCTCTAGCCAAAGCATCAACTTTTAGTGATAGTGGTGCGGACTTCAGCAAATGACTTCCTTAGGGATTTAAAAATAAATAAATAAATAAATATATATATAGTTATAGTTATATAGTTATATATAGTTATATATATAGTTATATATATAAATAAATATATATTTATTGATTATTGATTTCAGAGAGGGAGAGGGAGAGAGATAGAAACATCAACGATGAGAGAGAATCACTGTTCGGTTGCCTCCTGTATATCTGAGTCCAAAACCCGGGCATGTGCCCTGACTAGGAATCCAACTGTGACCTCCTGGTCAACACTCAACTACTGAGCCACACCAACTGGGCTTCTTAGGGTTGTATCGGATTTTAAAAACAAGCATAAAAGGGTGATATAAATAAAAGGTTTCACTCCAGTTATCTGTTGTCCAGAACATTTACTTATTTTACTTTTAAAACTAATTTTATTAATTTTTAGAGAGGGGAAGGGAGAGGGAGAGGGAAAGAGAAACATCGATGTGAGAGTGAAACATCAATTGGCTGCTTCCTGCATGCATGCCCCCTACCAGGGACAGAGCCCGCAACCCGGGCAAGTGCCCTGACAGGAATACAAGAGGACGCCCAGCCAATTGAATAAAGCTGTTATTTAAAAACGTCACATAGAGTCTCAACCAAATTTTACTTAACAATCACAAGTGAAAAGGCTGAAAATAGATACACAGCATTTTAGACTGGGATTTCCTGAACGGCAAGATTTAGGTGATTTTTGTTTGTTCTCTTACTCTTTTCTGATTCTCATAATCGTAGTTATTAGTCTAAGATAACTTCCTGACAAAATCTATATACATTTAAGATATGTGCCAGGCCCAGAGCATTTATTTACAATTACAAGCACACCCAATTGCTATGGTACCACTGTTGCCCACATTCATTACAGATTACATAGGTCATCATTTGTTCATCTGGGTTTGAATTCCGCACCCAACTTGGAAGGAAAAGTGCTCCTCTGTCAATTACAGTGACCTTGCAATTGAACTTTTCACAGTGTCTGCATTTTATTTTCTCCGTCTGGGTGCCCTCCATCACTTGGGGAAGGCAATGCTCCTGAATGCCAGATTCCGTGTAGGAATCTCTCAACTCTTTCAGCTCCTTGCTTGCCATATCCATGACCGTCATTTCAGCAAATTCTCTTGGCGACATGGTCCCAGAGAGCAAGTTTCGTTGTAAGTGAGAATTTCGGGGGTTCTTCAGATTGGCAACTTTGCTTCTGATACAAGTTTTATATTTTTTGAGGTTCTTTGAATACAGGGCAAAAACGTGCTCTTCAATTTCTCTTGCAAAGCTTTGCCACAACTCTGCTTTGGGCTGATTGGTGGAAGAACTAGTTAAAGCTTCATAAAGAAGCTCTGTGCATTTCATTCTCACGGGCACTGCAGGATGTAGCAACTCACTTGATCTCTTGTCAGTGGATTTGGGGTCGCCGCCCTTGACATCCTCTTCCTTACGTTCCATTCCATTTGGGCTGTTTTCAGGCATAAGCATTTCAGCGGCTTTTGCTATAGCATCTTGGGAAGATAGCAGAGGATCAGAACTGGAGCCCCCCAATGTCTCATCTGGACGTGAGTCATAAGAAAGTCCTGAATTTTTGTCCTTGTCACCCATGGGGAAGAATTTGGGGCTGTCCCCTGGTTTGAAATAAGGATCATTATAAAGAGCTTTCCATTTCGACAGGAGACACTTGGCCTTCTTCTTCAAAGCCACGGTGGGGCAGTTTTTGAGGACACGGTACACAGCCCTGACCACATGTGTCTGCTGGAGATGCTCCTTGGTCACGTGCAGAGTTTCCAGCTCCGTCAGGTGGTTGCCAAGATCCTCAAATTTCCCTTCAGACAGCAATTGCTCAATAAGGGAAGCTCTGGCCGCTAGCTGGGTCCTGGCAGACATTTTCACAGCTGCAAAGAGAAAAAGAGTTTTCCATTTTCTTAGGCTTGTGTTTGCCAATCACGGCTTCCTGATAGTAGCATGGCACTTTCTGCCAGTGACCTACATGGTGTTTGCTAAGGGAGTTGGGTAATAAAAATGGGTGTGGCATGTTAGAAAACGGGATCTGCAGTGGGGCATGGTTTCGTTTAAAAAGTTTGATTCTCAGTAGTTTTTTTTTTTTTTTTTTTTTTTGTTTTTTTTGTTTTTAGCGGCACTGTAAACAGCTTCTGCATGAATGGCTGCTTAAAGAGCTGCTATAACTTTTGCCACCTCTAATTTTACAAATCAGTGAGCTTCCCGAATCAAGATTTGTCACTTCCTGTGCATGGAATCTGGTGGTCATGTTGGGGATGAAATCATGCCAGTGTCAACATCAACAGGGTACGACTGAGCAAGTCTGGAAACTTCTTCCCATATTCAGCTATATAAGGGAACTACTTGCTCATTTTATAATCTTTTTTTTTTAGAGAAATTTTATTTTTTAAAAAATATTTTATTGATTTTTACAGAGAGGAAGGGAGAGGGATAGAGAGTTAGAAACATTGATGAGAGAGAAACATCGATCAGCTGCCTCCTGCACACCCCCTACTGGGGATGTGCCTGCAACCAAAGTACATGCCCTTGACCGGAATCGAACCTGGGACCCTTCAGTCTGCAGGTGGGAGCTCTATCCACTGAGCCAAACCGGTTTGGGCAGGGCTTAGAGAAATTTTAAAAAATATTTTTATTGATTTCAGAGAGAAAGGGAGAGAGAGATAGAAATATCAACGATGAGAAAGAATCATTGATCAGCTGCCTCCTGCACGCTCCACACTGTGGGTCGAGCCCACAACTCGGGCTTGTGCCCTGACCAGGAATCAAACCATGACCTCCTGGTTCATAGGTTGACACTAACCACTGAACCATGGCAGCCAGGCTAATTTTATAATCTTTACATGGTACTTTTCTGAATATAAAAGAATGAGAAACAGGGCAACAGGGGATGCTGTTTAGACGTCCCAAGGAATCTAAAGAGGTCGTGAGCTAGCACAGGTTGGGAGGCAGCCGGAGCCAGGTCTGACGGGCCCCACTGTGCTGACATCTGAGTCTTCTGAAGAACAGGGGAAAGGTTTACACTAAGGCTGCCAGTGGTTCTCAACCTTCCTACTGCCACGACCCTTGAATACAGTTCCTCATGTTGTGGTGACCCCCCACCATAACATTATTTTCGTTGCTACTTCATCACTGTAATTTTGCTACTGTTATGAGTCGTAATGTAAATATCTGATATGCAGGATGTATCTTCAGGGGTCCCGACCCACAGGTTGAGAACCGTTAGAAGCGATCCAGAGGGTTTATGACACTGGACTAACTGGTCCCTAGGCTGCAGTTTGGCTCTGTTAACTTTTTTTCTTTTCTTTTCTTCTTTTTTTTTTTTACTTTTAGGTGTAAAAAGTTGCTTGATGATTATATCTGAGTGAATCTCATCCCGGGCAGGCCAATGTTTACTCTAGCTCACCAGTCTATGTTTCTCTCCACATAATGTCTACCATCTTGTCTACATGAAAACCATGGATTTAGATCTGCCCATCTGGCTAAATGTGAACATAAGCACCTTGATGGCAGGGGCTCTGTCTTTTAAAAAATTCATGGACTCCTCCCTGACTGGTTTGGCTTAGTGGATAGAGTGTCAGCCCACGAACTAAAGGGCCCCAGGTTCAATTCCGGTGAAGGGCATGTACCTTGGTTGCAGGCTCGATCCCCAGTAGGGGGCATGCAAGGAGGCAGCTGATCAGTGTTTCTCTCTCATCGATGTTTCTGACTCTCTATCCCTCTCCCTTCCTCTCTGTAAAAAAATCAATTAAAAAAATTCATGGACTCCTATTTTACAGCACTTGGTATTAAACAACATCACTGAACATACACAGGCTAATAACACTGAAGTGATTCCAGAGAGAATGAATGTAGACTTCCTAGAAACCATCTGACAAGAGCTGTAACATGTAATGTCCTTTTAGACAGCAAATCTACTTCTATAAATTACTGTAAGGAAATGAGTGGTGTGGAGGCTGGATAGCTAAGAATTTCCTTCAAACTGAGAAGAAACGAGAAGGTCCCAAATGGTTAAACATGAATGTTCATAGCAGCAATATTCAAAACAAAGAGTAGGAACAACCCCAATGTCCATCAACTGATGGATGAATACACCAAATGTGGTACATCCATATAACGGAATGATATTTGGCAATAAAAAGAAATGAGATTCTGCCTGGCTGGCATGGCTCAGTGGTTGAGCATCCACCTATGAACGAGGAGGTCACAGTTCGAATCCTGGTCAGGGCACATGCCCGGGTTGTGGGCTTGATCCCCAGTGTGGGGCATGCAGGAGGCAGCCAATCAATGATTCTCTCTCACCATTGCTGTTTCTCTCTCTCTCTTTCCCTCTCCCTTCCTCTCTGAAATCAATAAAAAATATTTTAAAAAGAAAAGAAATGAGATTCTGATACACATTCCAACATGGATGACCCTTGAAAACACTGTGCGAAGTGAAAGGCACAGAGGACCACATATTGTATGATTCCATTTATACAAAATGTCCAGAATAGGCAAATTCATAGAGACACAAAGGAAACTGGTGGTTGGCTAGGGCTGGGGGGTTGGGGCACCAGTGGGTGGAATGAGAAGGGGAGTGGCTGTTAATGGGTGCAGTTTTTCTTGGGGTAGGTGGAAAATCTTCTCTAAAGGTGATTGTGGTGACAAGTTGTGCAACTGTCAATATACTAAAAACCACACATATCATTAAAATGAACCATCTTAACCCTTTTCAAGTGGTCAGTTCAGTAATGTTGAGTACATTCAGTGTTGTGCAACTTACCTCCAGTACTAAAGTATACATGTTAAATAGGGGAATTGTATGGTATATAAATTATATCTGAATAAAGCTGTTATTTAAAAACAACATATAGAGTCTGAACCAAATTTTACTTAAAAATCATATGTGAAAAGGCTGAAAATATATACACAAAATGTCAGACTGGGATTTTCTGAATGGCAAGATTTAGGTTATTTTTTTTTGTTCTCTTACTCTTTTCGGATTTCCATGATGACTATGTATTATTTTCATAATCACAAAAGTTATTAGTCTAATATGATTCCATGATAAATTCTATATACATTTAAGATATGTGCCTAGCCCTGTTGGTGTGGCTCAGTAGTTGAGTGTTGACATATGAACCAGGTTACGGTTAGATTCCTGGTCAGGGCACATGCCTGGGTTACAGGCTCTATTTCCCAGTAGGGGGTGTGCAGGAGGCAGCCAATCAATGATTCTCTCTCATCATTGATGTTTCTATCTCTCTCTCCCTCTCCCTTCCTCTCTGAAATCAATAAAACTATATATTTTAAAAATATATATGTGCCTACTGAAAAATGGCAATGTGAGTGGCTCAACAAACCTTCCCTCTGGAATCAGAATACTGCGAAGGTACTCTATCACCATGGCTTTGTATTCAGATTAGCATTCATAGTCTCCTCAGGAGTCTACCCTGACTCTAAAACAGTTGACTCTCCTCTCAGACTTTATCACCAAATATAAGAATTAAGTACCCTTTAAAAAATTAAGTACTCTTGGCCACAACTATGAGATTCCTTCTGGTGTTTCCATGTTCCTCAAGAATCCAAGTCTTGCATTTTTACCACCAGAAAGTAGACAACCTTGGCAGTCTTTTTTTTTTCCAGTCATTTAATAGTCACTCAATGGGCCATCAATTCAGGATCTTAAGTGGCTATTTTTCTAATTATCCATTCAGTACTTCACGGCCATGGTTTTTCCTTTTTTAAGATTCCACTTCCCCCAAAAGCAAAGGCTCAGGAAACAAAGAAGAAAGATAGCACAGAAAAATAAAAAAGACCCTCGATTGCTGGATATTTATCTCAAAACTGTCCGCCTGACATCTTGGGATCTGGACGAAGTCAAGCAGCCATGTCATGATGATGAGGTCCCAAGCCCTCCCCCACTTGCTGGAAAGTTTCCTAACCAAGAAGAAATATTCATCCTGCCTGCCTTCTATATTCACTCTATATGCATGAATACCAACGAAATCAGGATTGAAATTAGCTGGAGGTTAACAAGGTGGTTAATAAGAGACAGGTCTACAGTGCCCACATGGCAATTAGGCAATATTTAACTCAGGTCAGAATTTCTCAACGAAGGGTCAGAGTCTCAAGGAGACTCTGAAGGGGAATTTAACTACAGCTTCAGGGCATCAGTGCCAGGAGAGCAGCAGTCTGGCATCCTAGCAAAACTTGTCTCTTACGCACATCAATCTACAGAAGTGAACGCATTCATGTGTAAGCACTTTGCTCTTCATTCCATATGTCCCTCTATTTAGCTCTCCTCCATAATTATTCATTTTCCATCTTTAATTGTGGTAAACTATAGACCACAAAATTTACCATCCTAACCCTTTTCTTTTTTTTTTTTTTTCAAGATTTAAAAAATATATTTTATTGATTTCAGAGAGGAAGGGAGATGGGGAGAGAGATAGAAACATTAATGATGAGAGAGAATCATTGATCTGCTGCCTCCTGCAGGCCCTCTACTGAGGATTGAGCAGAAACCCAGACTGGGAATCCAACCGTGACCTCCTGGCTCATCGGTCGACACTCAACCACTGAGCCACGCCAGCAGGGCCTTACTGGTTTCTCTATTTGGGTAGTGTCTCCAGTCCACCCTGGCTACTCTGCCACAATTTATTTTGCTCCAGGACTTACGTGCTTAGCTCTCCAGGATGTTTGTATTCCTTTCTCAGTTTCTGAATCTAGCTGACTCTAATATTTTACTACATTCCTTTCCTTTCTGTCTTCTATGGCTCCTATATTATTATTTTTTTTTCAGAGGGACACCTGGTCCAACTCTATTTTTTTAAAAAAATGAGATCTATTCTCCTTTCTAAAAATGTTATCCTATTTACTAAAAGGGAAATATGCAAATTGACCCTAACGGCCAGGAATGACCGGTTGCTATGACGCACAATGACCACAGGGGGTAGATGCTCAATGTAGGAGCTGCCCCCTGATGGTTAGTGCGCTCCCACAGGGGGAGCTCCGCTCAGCCACAAGCCGGTCTCACGGCTGCTAGCACAGTGCTGGTGGCGGGAGCCTCTCCCACCTCCTCGGCAGCGCTAAGGATATCTGACTGACGGCTTAGGCCCGCTTCCCCCGGACAGTGGGCCTAAGCTGGCAGGTGGACATCCCCCAAGGGGTCCTGGACTGCAAGAGGGCGCAGACCAGGTTGAGGAACCTCCAAGTGCGTGAATTTTTGTGCACCGGGCCTCTAGTTTATTTATATTTTTAATCTTCACGGGAGGATATTTTTCCCATTGATTTCTAGAAAGAATGGAAGGGAGGGAGAAGAGAGAGAGGAGAGAGGAGAGACATCATTGGTTGCCTCCCTACCAGGGATGGGGAATCTGCAACAGAGGTATGTACCCTTTACTAGGAATCTAACCTGTGACCCTTTGGTCTGTGGGCGTGCTCTAATCACTGAGTCAAAATGGCCAGGGCTGGTCCAACTATTAATGAAGCAATTATTTATTGAACTGAATATGGACAAGAAACTAAACTAGGTGCTGGATTTTTTATGCCATAAAGTTCCACTTTTTTGGTAGAAAACAAGATATCTCTTCTTACCCACTATCAACTACCTGTAGCTACCTTTTATTTATAATCTATGGATACAAACATTTACCCAGAAAGGGTTCCACATTCATTTAATTTTGTGAGACATTTATGATACATTTACTACCATATCCGATATTATATAGAGCACCTTGCATCTCTGGGTGTTCAGGAAATACTATGCTTGAGTACCTATATAGATAGTTACTATAGATTAATTTCCAAAGAACTTCTAAAGAGCAAGCATAGTAAACTGAACTAACATTTTTCAATAAGCCACATTAGTTAACCAGAAGATACCCTCAGAATTCTAACGGATCTCTGACAAGTGCTATTGGAATTTCTCCTGTTTTTTTTTTTTTTTTTTTTTTTTTTTATTAAGGCATCGAACCTCCGACTGGCTAAGGACCACAAAACGAAATTCTCATTGAACTCATGAAGGCAGGACATAAATGGTGGGAAAAAACAGATGTCAATACCCAAAAGGCATATTTCTAAATTTCCCCAACCACTGAAATGCCCTGGTCATTTACAAACCTAATCTAGGGCTAAGTATGAACTTTACTTGAGAAAGAGGCCTGAGAGGTTCAGGACTTGACCAATGGTTTCATATTCAGGGGAACTGGACCCTGGCATCTCCCTTTCAGACATATACTGCCCATTAAATGACTTAACTGGTTACCTTGCAAAAATTAGTTCACTGACGGTCTTTCTACGAAGCTGTGAAGTTGCTCTCTTCCCCTAGGGAAGGGAAACGAGGGGCATACAAGAGGCGGCCCCGTCAGCTAATTCTTCACGAATAACAGAAAAAGCAGTGAACCATCTGGATTCCGGATCCGGAGCTGAGTCATCAGGTCTAAAACCTGCGCTAGGGGGAGAGTGAGGGGTATGGGGCGTAGGCGGATATAAGGAAATGCTGGTAAAATTACCTTGACCACGCGGACACCTGGGGACTTTCGCACAGACTAAAACCCATCACATTTCTCAACAGCCACGGCAGGGAGGCCGAAGCGAGAGGACTCGCTCCCCAAGGCCGTTCAGACCCCCTGCAGCCCCGCCCCCCCCCCCCCCCCCCCCCCCGGCCCCATCGCTGCCCAAGTCCAGCCCCAGAGCCCTTCACTCAGCACCTCGCGGAGGACCGCGCCAGGGCGGCAGGAGAGGGGATCTAAGGGCGGCTGAAGAGCTCGGAGAAAACGAGGCCAACGTGCTCAGGCGGGGATTATGGGAGCCGGCGAGGGAACTATCAACTCGGGGTTCAGACTCCCCGACTCCCACACCCTCTCTAAAAGCAGACCTCGCTCCGCACGCCAGCGGTTCCGCGCCCCTAGCAACCACCTGCCACCCTTTTCGAGTCTACAGTTCAGAAGTGTTAAGTACATTCAGTGTTGTGCAACCAACCTCCAGAACCTTTTTTTTCCATCTTGCAAAACAAACTTTGTGCCCTTAAACACTAACTCCCCATTCCTTTCTCTCCCCCTTCCCTGCAGCCGTGGGAAGCCATCATTCTATTTACAATATCTATGAATTTCAGTACTTTATATATCTCATATAAGGTGAATCATACAGTATTTGTCTTTTTATGACTGGCTTATTTCACTTAGCGTAATATCATCAATGTTGGTCCATGTTGCAGCATGTGCCAGGATTTCCTTCCTTTTTAAGGCTGAAAAATATTCCATTGAGTACAGAGGCCATATGTTGCTTATCCAGTCATCCACTGATGGACACTTGGGTTGCCTCCACCTTTTGGCTCTTGTGAATAGAGATGCTATGAACATGGGGGTACAAATACCTCTTCGAGGCCCTGCTTTCAATTCTTTGGGTATATACCAAAAGTGGGATTGCTGGATCATATGGTAATTCTATTTTTAATTTTTCAAGGATCTGCCATACTGTTTTCCATTCTCCATCTTTTTAAAATATATATATTTTTTATTGATTTCAGAGAGGAAGGGAGAGGGAAAGAGAGTCAGAAACATCAATGATGAGAGAGAATCACTGATATGCTCCTCCTGTGGGCCCCCTACTGGGGTTTGAGTCTGGAGCCTGGGCATGTGTCCTCCCTTGACAATCGACCCTGGGACCCTTCAGTCCGCAGGCTGACGCTCTATCCACTGAGCCAAACCAGCTAGGGCTCTCCATCTTTTTAACAGCATTTAAATCCTGTCAAACTTTCTATTCCCCCCATGGGGCAATCAGGTGAATATAAATCCCTTATTACCCTAGTGGTGGTGGTGGGGGGGGGGGGCGTCTAGTGTGGAAGCAACTGGGATACAAAATTTTGCGAACTGTCATAAAATGACAAAGTGAGCTGTGTGTCCAGTTTCGAGTTCTACATAGTTCATTTAATAAAAAATTTCGTATGTGTCTAGTACATGATAGATGCTGAGCCTCAATAGTCTCTGCTTTGAAGGAGCTGCCAGCTCAGTGGAAGGAATACAGACAGAAAAATGCAGCCAATTACGACCCACAAATATAGACACGGTCCACCAGGAGACTCACATAGGAGGACACCGAATCTGGGCTGGCTGTCATCTGACCAGCTCCACTTGCATCCTCACTGCCTTCCTGCCACTTCGTTAGAGGGGTCATCCTCTAATACAGCGGTTCTCAACCTGTGGGTCACGACCCCTTTGGGGGTCGAACGACCCTTTCACAGGGGTCGCCTAAGACCATAGGAAAACACATATATAATTACATATTGTTTTTGTGATGAATCACTATGCTTTCATTATGTTCAATTTGTAACAATGAAAATACATCCTGCATATCAGATATTTACGTGACGATTCATAACAGTAGCAACATTACAGTGATGAAGTAGCAACGAAAATAACTTTATGGTTGGGGGTCACCACAACATGAGCAACTGTATTAAAGGGTCGCGGCATTAGGAAGGTTGAGAACCACTGCTCTAGTACATATCTTACCAAGATATCCCCTCATTCTCCCACTTAGAGCCCTTCAGGGATTGCCTTCTGCTCTCAGGATGGAACCAAGGTCCTTGGCCAGGTAATGAAACGCCCCCTTCCAGCCCGCCCCCCCTGTGCCCGGCTGAACCACCAAAGGCTCAGCCAGCTTCACAGCTCTGGGCCTTTGCCCCCGTAGCTCCCTGAGCCTGGCCTGTATCAGTCATCATTGAGTGGGTCTCAAGCCTCACTGCAAATCCGAACCATCTGGAGAAAGTAAGCAGCAAAACCAAAAACAGCAATGCCAGGCCCTTGTGGGATAGAATGATATCATTATAAATTAGAATCTGCGAAGGTAGGCCTGGGTATTCTGTCAGCACTCCAGGCGATTCTGATTGAAACCAGAGCTGCGACCACTGCACAGGCGTAACTCCCTGCCTGCAGCAGGAATGTCCCAGGGACGCTGCTATCAGCCTGCCGTCCTGCTCCCAGACTGAACGCACGGAACCTCCCTGACTGCGCTTCGGCTAGATGAGCCCCGTTAAATCAGGAAATATTAAAAACACCTGCTGGGCACAACTAATCGAAAACCTTCTCTATAAATTACAAGTGGTGACTGCCCTGTGTCAGGTGTCATGATGCACTCAATTCCCCATATTAATTTCCCCTCTTACCTCGTAGTAGCAGAAGGCAATGTATATTTATTGAGCAACTCCACCTGCAGTACACTCATGTCATCTGGATCCTCACAATAACCGAGACAGGCTCATTTCCATCTTACAGATGAGGAAACCTGTTAAAAACATCAAGTATTTGCACTGTTTTTTCATGGGGCATATCACATTAAATTTTTTTATTGTCCGTCTCCCCTACAAGACCCTAAGAATGACATGTTTCATTCGCTGATACACATCTGGCAAACACCTGGCCAATGCTCAGAATTACTCACCCAATACTTTTTGTTAAATTCAGGATGCTCCCTCCTCTCTGCTGGCGAACTTCATTCTTTTCATACAGATCACCTTGCTTGTACCCACTGCACCTGAGCTCAGGCCCCCCTCAGCTTCTTCCACCAGAGACTAAGCTCATCTCAATTTTAGTATAAAAAAATCATTCACAGCCCTAGCTGTTTTGGCCCAGTGGGAAGAGCGTCGGCCTGAGGACTGATGGATCCTGGGTTCGATTCTGGTCAAGGGCACATACCTCGGTTGCAGGCTCGAGCCCCTCTCTCTGTCTCTTCCCCTTCCCTCCCACTCTCTCTAAAAAATCAATAGAAAAATATCACAGGGGAAAATTAACGACAACACGAATTTAAAATAAATAAACAAACAAATAAATAAAAATTAAAAATCATTAACAGAAATTCTCGTTAAAAACAAAAAGAAACATGGTGTCTACTGTCGGCTAATCAAGTGGGGTCCAGGAGTCAAGCCATGTGGGGATAAAGAGGTTCAAGAAGGTACAGTCCCCAGAAGTGAGGTGTGTTGAGCATGCTGGGTAAGCTGCATGACCATTCTGTGCCCCATTGTCCTCATCTACAAAATGGGGGAAATCCAACATCCTAGGATTAATATGAGAATTAAACGACATAGTCCTCATAAAGTCCTTAGAACTACACCTGTCACACAGTAAGCCTGACTGGCGATTACACAGGACTACAGTGAAAAGGTTTACATATATCTGCTATAATACCAGGCATTGCTCTAGAACAGGGGGTTGGCAAACTTTTTCTTTAAAAGGCCAAACAACAAATATTTCAGGCTTCACAAGCCATCCGATCTCAGTACGCACTACTCAACTCCGCTGCTCTTGCAGCAGAAACAGCAACACTGCCAATGCATAAACGAGTGGGCGTGGCTTTGCGCCAATCAATCTTTTTTTCAAAAGCAGGCAGGCTGCATTCAGCAGCAGGTCAGTTTGCTGATCCCTTTTCTAGAACATTGCTGTCCAATAGAAACATAATGCAAGCCACAGATAGAATTTAAAATTGTCTAGCAGCCACGTTAAAAAAACAGACAGGTGAGTTCAGCTGGTGGTGCTCAGTGGTTAAGCCTCGAACTATAAACCTGGAGGTCACGGCACATGCCTGGTGACAGGCTAGATCCCGTGTGGGGCTTATGGGAGGCGGCTGATCAATTATTCTCTCATCATTTATGTTTCTATCTCTCTCTCCCTCTCCCTTCCCCTCTAAAATAGAAAACAAGACAAAACAAAACAAAAAAACCACCAGACAGGTGAAATTAATAATACATTTTACTTAACCCAGTTTATCCAAAATACTGCTACTTCAACATGTGATATAAAAAAATTATTGAGATACTTTATATTTTTCATACTAATTCTCAAAAATTTCGCTGTTTTATGCTTACTGCACAACTCAATTCAGACCAGGCACATTTCAAGTACTCAATTGCCTATGTAGCTAGTGGCTACCATATTGGATAACACAGTTCTAGAACATATGCTAATACAGATAATGCTTAGATACACACCTATACCTCTAGATTCTGAATACATACCAAAAAGAGAGTGTATACAGCGCCAGCAAGAGTATGCATATAAAAGCTTGTCATTATTAACTAGTATTACAGTATGTGAAAGGTGCACACATCTGGCCTAAACCCCGAAGAGTGGAAGACGAAAGAAAATTTTCCAAAAGTTTACAAATTAGCAGTAACTGAGATCTGATTAGAACTTTAGATGTAAGATCTAATCCAGCTACACTGGGAGCCCCTTCCTCTAGGGGAGAGAAATGCCAAATGTTTTTTAAAAATTTTTCCCCCCTTTATTGATTAAGGTATTACAAATGTGTCCTTATCCCCCCATTACCCTCCCTCCCCCCTCTGTTGTCTGTGTCCATTGGTTAGGCCTATATGCTTGCATACAAGTCCTTTGGTTGATCTCTACCCCTTAGCCCCACCCTCTCCTGCCTCCCCTCTGAGGTTTGACAGTCTTCTGTCTCTAGATCTGTTTTTGTTCATCGGTTTATGTTGTTGTCCGTAGGGGCGTCTCGGTTTCTGAACTGTCAATACTGTACTGCGCTAGGGGCCTCTCACATTAAGATGATCCCTAGCAATTGAATGGAAGGGACAACCCAAGGGCCCGCTCTGGCCCGGGTTCAGGTTCCGGTGGGTGGGGTGGAGCGACAAGCCAAGCCTGCAGCAAACCGTTCTGGGGTAACAGCCTGGCACCCAACACAAGCAGGGGCGGCCCGGAGGGATCTGCCCACCCCGGGGCCCTCGGGGCGGAGGGGACAAAGGAACGTTCAGGCCTCCCCCACCCAAGGCCTAGGGCGCACCAGGACTCCCCCGCGCAGAGACCTAGGCAAACCCGGGGCGTGGCTCACCAAGAAGAGCCGGCTGAGCGTGGAGCCCTCCGCGGCCCCCGAGTCTAACGTCGACTTCCGGTTTCCAGGGCGGGACCACCAAGGTTCAGCCAATCAAAGCCCGCAGACTGGAAAACACAGCCGGGATTCAGCGCCTGCGCACAGCGACCAGCGGCCGTGGGGCGGGTCCGGGCCGCTCGCTGGAGGCGGCTGGCCCAGGGCCAACAGTGCAGCCTCGAAGGACGGAAGAAACTAGTGCGGGTATTGTTTTTCAGCAGCGGTTTGTGGAACTGCTCTGCAACGTTCCATTTCTGCTTCCAGTCAAGACAGTGCTCAGCTAAATATTGACAAAACTTTGGACAAAATGTTCATTACCTATTTAACGCTGAGATTAATTCCACGAGCATTTATTGCACCCCTAGCATGCACCAGCTAATGTGAAAGTAGTGGACATTCATTAAGTAGACAAGTGCATCCCGCATTAATCACCAGTGCACATCTTCCCCTGGAAGGGCTCAATAAAACCAAAGTGATGGTACAACTAGACTCAGAATGTAGCTCTCTTCTTTGCTGATCCCCGCCTGTAAGACAACTTGGGGGGCGGTTCAAGGAAGCAGGGGTTTGCTCTGGACTGGATGCTGTCAGGAAGCAGGGCAATTCTAAGATGGAGCAATGTAATAAACCTTACCTAGAAGAAGGGAAGACAAGGCCAAGACTAAAGCCATAATTAGCCAAAATAAAAAAGTTAAAAGATAAAAAAGAGCAGCAGTAACTCAGTTTAAAAAACCGTTGAAATACTGCAAGTCCATTCTGGATGTAACCTAAGAGACGTTAGTTTCAAAAGATGATTGCTAGAAGATTGTTTCTATCACAAGAACAAAGTGAGACATCTGTAAATCAGTTTTATTGGACAGGCTGGGCTCCGTAGGGTGAATGTCAGAAGACACATTGTTCCCTCATCACTGCCTTGAAACAAAGCTCTGTGGGCTAGCTCCCCTTTCCCATGGCTCCTCCACGGCTGGAGCCTGAGGCTTTTTCCAATTACTTTCGGGTATCAAGAAATCATCTTCGTTTTTAGGTCATTAAAACCCATTCTAACCTAATGTAAAAAAATCAACTACTCATCCAATTCAAAGCTCCGACCTTCCCTCAGCTCAGGTGTGGTTTGTAACTCCGGAACAGCAAAGAGAAACACATGTGAAGGGCAGGCAAGTCTGGCTTTAATAACTTCTTGGTGTAGCTCATAGGATGGAAATTTAGAGGCAATGAAACAATATTTATACTACTTGGTTACTGGGGCTGCTCCAAAATTCCATTTAATCAGAAAAATATAGGAAAAGTACAAAAAAAGTGGGATGAAAGGATGCCAACTCTATTCAAAGACCTGCCTACTCGACTGTCTTTTGTACTGTGGTTAGGAAATCTGAGCTGCAGCCTACCGCTGGGATTTCATTTTGTCAGAGTGGCTTCTTACCAGGAAGAGCACAGGCTGCCAGTGATCCTGTACCGACTGCTCCATGAAACGCCTCACTTCATTTTGGTTCTCAGCAGTTCATCAGAGTAGCAAGACATAAACCCTGAACTAAAAAGCACTGGTCCGTGCTGCTTCCTTGTCCTTTGTTCTTGCACCATGTCGCTTCGAGGCCCATTCTCATGGACAAACTGTACTCACCATCCACAGCCCCCCTTTCATGGTATAACCTGGGAGTGCTGCCAGAGGGACCATTCATCAAAAATGACAATATAGCAGATGACATGTACTGTACACAGAGAACCCTAAAGACTCTGCCAAAAAACTGCAACTGATAAATGAATTCAATAAAGTAGCAGAATACAAAAGAAATATCCAGAAATCAGTTGCATTTTTATACACCAATAATGAACTATCAGAAAGAGAAACTGAGAAAACAATCCCATTTATAATTGCATCAACAAAAAATACCTGGGAATTGCCCTAGCCAGTTTGTTCAGTGGTTAGAGTGTTGGCCCATGGACTGAAGGGTCGACGGTTCGAGTCTGGTCAAGGGCAGGTACCTTGGTTGCAGGCTCAATCCCCGGCCCCAGTCAGGGCACATGCGGGAGGCAGCCAATTAATGTGTCTCTCTCACATCGATGTTTCTCTCTCTCTGTCTCTCCCCCTTGCTTCCACTCTCTCTAAAAATCAATGGGAAAATATCCTTGGATGAGGATTAACAACAACAAAATACCTGGGAATAAATTTAACCAGCGGTGTAAAAGACCTAAGGACTAGTTTTTAAAAAAGTGTTTTTATTGATTTCAGAGAGAGAAAGGGAGAGAGTCAGAAACATCAATTATGAGAGAGAATCATCAATTGGCTGCCTCCTGCACCCCCCCCCCACTGGGGATGAAGCCTGAAACCCAGGCATGTGTCCTGACCGGGAATCGATGGGTCCTCCTGCTTCATGGGTCGATGCTCAACCACTGAGCAACACTGGCCGAGCTCATATACTAGTTTTTATTAGTTGTTCTTAGTTTAAAAACTAACCCAAACATCAACTAAGTTTCTAGTTGCTAAAGAAAACAAAGGCATCAACTCATTTGTCATGACAAGAGTACATCAGTTAGACTGGTATGTTGGCATGTACTCAATCCCAGCGTTTATGTGAGATGGTCCACGTGGGGACTCCGGTGGGTTTGGGTCAGCAGCTTTTAGCCCACTCTCTGAAAAGCTAATTAATTACCCCAATCTGCCCTAGCTGGGAGCAGCCACATGACCCAGGCTGGCCCAAATGCACACCCCTCCCAGAATGTGAATTTTGAGCAGAACAATGTGGAGACTAACAGTGTGAGGTCATTCTGGCAATGGCGGCATCCTGGTCAGCAATGACTTTTTTCTATAGCTCTGCTGCTAGCCCTGCAGACCATTTCCAAGGCT